TGTACAGCCTCCTACATCCAACCTGTGCAACTGATTTGACTACGAAGAATGCTTTAGTGTAGTGCAGATCATCCCGGCTTCGTAATGTACATTAACTGCACTAAACCTTGTTTGGGCTCCTGTGCTCATGGATCACCACAAGGCAAATTTACCCCCCACTTTTCTCTTGACGCAACAGGTTTTGCACGGCAAAGCGCCATCATGGTCCTTAAGCTGACTATTACCTGGCAATAAGCTCGCTCATATGGACTACATCTTTTCGTTTAATCCTTTCATTGAAACGAAATGTTTTAATATTCCAAAGAAGCTATGCTTGTATGCACATTTGATCATGCCTTTAGAGGTGTGTCTCGTTTTTACAGAGAATATACCATTTATTTATTTATTTAAACAGTTTTTTACCGTTTCGACATCGTAGGGAAGACACGGGCGGGAGCCCGCTAGGGTCTAATTGCATGGTTCTCCCCCAGCAGCTGCATGAGGTTTCACAACCTGGTCTCGTAGAAGGTTGGCCTGCGGCGGACAGTCTTCACGTAGATCGAAGGACGGCTTACACAATCCCTTCTGGGAGAGGGCTATGTAACAGTCTGGAGATTCCCCGGTTTGCCTGTGTAAAATTCTAATTAAAAGTAATTCATTGTACACTTAGGCCACCGGTGTGGTTTGTTGAACTGATTGCTGACTTCGAATGCTTGACTTGCTCACCGCCATATTTGCTTGGCACTCGTTTCATTTGCAACTCGCGACTACCTTGTGTGTTGTGCTTGCTCCATTCCCCTAGCTAGAGCGTCCACGGTGTCGTTCATTTATGGCTATATAAACAGGGAATCTTTTACTGTACTAATAAAAGTTTCCCTGCAACTCGATCTGTCTTCTAGAATCGCTGCCTGGGCTCCCGGTACAATCGACCCTCTAAAAAACGGATTTCAAGCCCATAAGCAATATGCTAAATTTTACTAAATGTTCCCATACTCATTTCTTTATTATTAGTGTCAGGCTCCTCTAGCTGACTGATGTTAAAAACATAGCCACATGAATATAGAAAATCGGCTCAAAGCATGATACTTGCGATGTTTAGCTAAGAAATGTTTGTATTTTTCAGGCCAAAATGTGTCAACAGATCCCAAAGGTCTCCTGGGGTACTCAGGTAGACCCGGCTCATGCTGACTTGATATAAGCTTCAGCAACACTTAAAGGCCTAAAAGATAATAAACTCTATATTCCTGGTTGTTTATGTGGCTCAGGATCCACTGAAAATTGTGTGCTGAGGCATTCTAACCGTGGGTTAAGTATAAGCCCACTTGCATTCCCATGTAGACATAATAATCCTTACTGGATATCTAGCGTTTTCGCGAAAGATTGTCGCTTATTTGCGTATACTTGCTACGTATGTCTGCATTGTGTAATTTTCGGCCACCTACGCAGTCCCAAGTTTTCGCAGGGTATTACGGGCTAATTATAGTAGTGCTGGATAGCTATTCCTATTTAAAACATATACTGCTTCGCTACTTTTACCTTATCGTTCCTTTTTTCCGATGTCTGCTTGCAAAGCAGAAAGCCATTTTTAGCGAAACGTGATAATGTCCTTAGTCGTAGACCACCAGTTACTTTAAATGACTCGCAAACTACTGCACGTATGACATTGTTTTTACCTTCAGTGTATTCAGCAGTTAAAACCTGTCCAGACCGGTATATCTTTGTGCTACTTTATGCAGTATTCCAGCCTTAGAAAAGGTTTTTATTTTATTTTGCGCTTTACTCAGGTTGAAACTTTGTGCCAGAAAGCAATATTAGCGCAAGAAAAGATTTGCTGCATTTTTTGTTAGCTTGTATTTTTCTAGTGAAGCACGCCGCCTTACTATGTCTCTTAACAAATCCTTTTTATTTTCTTACGCGTTTTTTGAAATTATCTTTTAACTTTCGTATCGCATATAATTCCGCCACTTTCATTTCTACCATGTGCGAACTAACAATTGTGACGACTGAGCGGGCCAACCAATGTCCAATGAATTTAAATGGAGCTTGTGCTGAATTGAATCCTGTTCAAAAGGAAAAAGGCAC